CTCCAGCACGCAACGCAACACCGACCCTCCAGCTAGTTGCCCTGAACTGTCAGCCGCAGCAACAGGGACAACGAGAGAGCCCCGGTCGTCTGATGTGGCCAACACCAGTGCTGAATCAAGCATTCTTATCAGTGGGACATCGCCTGAACAGTCATTATTTCCGGGAGGAGATGCAACATTGCTCTTGGCCGGTCTGGACGATTCTCAGCATAGTTTCGACGAAAACATAATTTTGGAACAGTCCGGCGGATGACATACAAGCTTGCTTCCAAGACGTATACAACGAATGTGTGCAGTGGGAGAGGAATCTGGTAATGATTCCGTATGGTTCAGCCGGGTCTTCGTTTGTGAATGAATTGGCCCGCTTAATATCAGCGTTTGCCGCTGGCTCGCCACTTCGTCCCATCTCTTGGACAGCGGTAACGGTTGCGTGCCAGCTACTATTACAGCGACCTCACCCGGAGTCCCGGGCTGCCTGAGAATGCAACCCACATCACGCCACGTTTGAAATCGTGGTCATGTGGCAGGTTTGAGGACATCCTGGACGAAGCCAGATGTATTCAAGCACACCTACCCGCTGGGAAGCGTCGCCAGAAACTGCCTGTTACAGTGGATGATACAACCTTCAGTCGACGAGTATTCGCAGGGAAGATTCACTCTGCAGCGAGGATGATGGTAGGTGATGACTCGCCTGGCTCAGTGCTCGGGATGGAGGACTCGGCCGGTGGTGACAAGACTGTGCGTGAGGTACTGCATGACAAGCACCCGTCTCCGTCACCGGCGGTTCCTGGCTCATTGGTGGCGCCGACCGACTCACAACGGGTGAACCCAATACTCTTCGAGCGCATCACGCCAAGCCTCATCAAGTTTGTTAGCAGGCCCATCAAGGGCGCCGCTGGTCCGTCCGGACTAGACTCGGAGGCCTGGACCAGGATGCTAACGTGCTTCGGCCCAGCTTCCAACCGACTTTGCACTGCATTTGGCGGATTCGGCACGCGTATTGTGTACTGCGAATATCGAGCCGAGTTTCATGGAGGCATTCACTGCCGCCCGCCTGATCCCCCTTGATAAATCCCCAGGTGTTAGACCCATAGCTGTTGGGGAGGTGTTTAGGAGGATTATAGGGCGAGCGATAATGAAGGTGATCGAAAGCGACGTCAGAGCTGCGACTGCCCCGCGCCAACTTTGCGTTGGCATGCCAGCTGCGTGCGAGGCTGCCGTTCAGGCAATGGCAGGGGTTTTTAGTCTTCCTGAAACCGAAGCCGTGCTGCTAATAGATGCATCTAATGCATTCAATTCTCTAAATAGGAATGCTGCCCTGCACAATGTTCCCGCTCTCTGTCCTTCTTTAGGTCAGGTTTTCAAGAACACGTATGGCGCGCCATGCCGCCTCTTCGTAGCGGGTGGGGGCGAAATTCCTTCCCGTGAGGGGACCTGTCAGGGTGACCCCCTTGCGATGGCCATTTACGCTGTTGCTGTTATGCCTCTCATAAACAAACTTTCACACGAATGTCCAAACAACACCCAGCTGTGGTACGCTGATGACGATTCCGCTGCTGGCACCCTTCAAGCCACATCCCTTTACTGGTCTAAGTTATTGCAGCTGGGACCTGACTATGGGTACCACCCCAATCCGGAGAAGACAGTTCTTCTCGTGAAGCCATCTCTCGAGCACGCAGCGCAGGAATTATTCGCTGGGACTGGGGTGAGAATTGTTACGGATGGTTGCATTTATCTTGGTGGCGCCCTTGGGTCTGAGAGATTCCTGCACACATTTGTATCGGGTAAGGTTGATAAGTGGGTTCACCAAGTCGAGCACCTTTCCGAACTCGCCACTACTTAGCCACATGCTGCGTATACTGTGCTTGTGCGCAGCATTATTTCGCGCTGGCGTTATTGCCTTCGGGCCGTACATTGCTCTCCCGACCTATTTACTAGATTGAATGATGCAATTAATAATTCCCTGCTGCCTGCAATTGCTGGTGTGTCTCTAAGCAGTGACGATCCCCTTCGTCAGCTTATGGGAGTTCCATGCCGCCGTGGTGGGCTAGGCATCCCCCAGTTGCACCATTATGTGAGGGTGAGTATTCGCAGTGTACCGAAGCCGTGCGCCCAATAATTGAGGCAGCCGTGCCACAGCTTGCTGCCGATAGCACGCGAACGGCTGCGGGCCGGCCAGATGCAGCTGAGGAGTTGGCCGGGGTGAATTGGCGGATGAGGAGTCGTCCGGAGAGGCAGTGGAGCGGAACTCAGTAACTAACTTCAACAACGTGGAAGCTATGCTGCCGAATTCTGGGTCGGTGGATATTGTCTCTGCTGACCGGGAGCGCAGTGATGTTCTTTCTCTGGATGGAGGTGATGCGTCAGAGATTTGGCTCCCACTGCGTCCGCCGCGTCACACAGTCAACAATGAAACCGCTGATGAGTCTCTCACCTCATCATGGCTTCCGCAACGGCCACCGTCAGCTTCAATGGAAATTCCGTCACGTGAAGCTAGCGTTAGCGAGGCTGTGATGGAGACTCGCCAGCGTTTAAGAGAAGGCAAGAAGAAGAGAGACGCTAGGGACATAGAGATCCTGGCAACAGTACATGATCACCTGACACCAGACCAGCGATTCTTGGTGGAGATAGCTGGTGAGAAGGGCGTGTCCTCCTGGCTGACTGTTGAACCAAGGTCCGCGGCGCCCATGGCACAACACTTAACAAATCAGATTTTAGAGCCTGATGCTGTGGCGCTTCGGTACGGTCTACCGCTTGATGGTCTTCCAACGAACTGTGTATGCGGAGCTAACTTGTCGACTGACCATGCCATGGTGTGCCCTTATGGGGGCTATCCCACCGCAAGGCATAATGAGATACGTGATCTCATCGCTGAGCTACTCAGAAGTGTAAGTCCCGATGTGGCAATCGAGCCCAACCTTGTCCCATTTGGTGGTGAGACATTGGCATGGTCAACAGCTAACAGATCCCAGGAAGCGCGGCTTGACTTCAGGGCTCGTGGCTTTTGGACGCGGCAGCAGGAGGCCTTCTTCGATATCCGGGTAACGCATCCCAGGGCCACCTTGCTGTCTCGTGAAAAAGCCATGAGCCAATTGGAGCGCAATGAGCGGGAAAAAAGCGGCATTACGCAGAGCGAGTGAATCAGATCGATCGGGGCACATTCACCCCTCTGGTATTTGCGACCAACGGCATGATAGGCAAGGAGTGTTCCGTGTTTTTGAAGGCATTGGTTGGCCGTATTCTAGAGAAAAATGTTGATTTGGTGTATTCTGTTGTTGTCAATCATTTGCGATGCCGTTTGTCATTACGTATGATTTATGCAGTGGCAGTACCAGGCGCCGGCGTGGGCCATCCCCTGGATTATCAAAATGGGTGCCTTAGGGCATGTTCGATTGGTAAGGATCGGGATCAGGATCGAGATCTTGCTCATTGCTTGTCAGTAACTCTTCATGACCGTCTAGTCCGTCTTAGTAATAGAGCTCTACGCATTGTGTTCAGTATGCCTCGCTTTTCTGACGTATCCCTTGTTAATGCACGCCATCACATTCTCCCTTTGTCTGTGCGCTATCAGTTCAAACTCTATATCTTAGTGTTTCGTGTCCTGAATCAGTTAACTACTACTCTCCTTACTGATTGCTTTTGCCTTCGTTCTACTTCTACTCGTACCAATTCCTGCACTCGCTCCCAGGTATCTTCGTCTGTCACTCTACCAAAAGCTAAAACTCGTTTCGGTCTCTTTTCAGTTTCTTTCATCGGTTCCGACCGTTGGAATGCACTCCCCGCTGCAGTCCGCTTATGCTCTTCACTGCACCTATTCCGTAATTCAGTACTTTCATTTCTAGGGTACCCTGTAAGAAGGCCTTAGGCCTGTGGGGATTGCCCTATCAAAAATTTGATAATAATAATAATAATAATCTCACATCCATCGGATCCTTCAGATTCAACTGAACACTTTATATTGGACCTTGACTGTTGCCATGTTGACAATAGGGAGGTTCTGCTCTACGTTTTGGGAACGCGACGCAAAGAATCACGCGAACTTTCTTCGCGTTCCCGTAACGTAAAGAAATGCTGTTCTGCTCTACGTTTCACCTAGAGAAGTCACGTGGAATGTGTACTGGGAATTTCCCCTTCCATATTTTGCAGTTTTCTGCATGCAGTTGATCAATACCCAGCAAATCCGTACGCATTTTCTCTGCGTGTGCCACAACGTAGAGAACCCCATCTCCGCGTAGAAATCTGGAGCCAAAACACGCGAAGCCGTAGACTCTAACGTAACCCAGACACCTGCTCTCTACGTGATTTCTCTACGTTTCACGTATAGCATGCTAGCAGAACCTAAAAGTAGGCGCTCACAAATCACCCCAAAGGATGAACGTCGTACTCATCGCCTCCGCGATATCGATCCGTCGTACAAAAAGTCAACAAGCTCTATATCCACGTGTGCGTATCACAATGTGTACAAAAATGGTTTTTACCCGCCATATACGTACAAAGGTCACATTTGGATCCGATGGATCCGGGCAACCCTGCTCCCCGGCCCCGAGGTGGGTTGATCGGATCCAAATCCGAAGGATCCGGATCCAGATTCGACTAATCGAAAGGGTGCGAAGTGGATCCGGTGGATCGGGATCCCGATCCTACCAAACGAACATGCCCTAATAAAAAAAAAGTTTTATGTACAGCTGTACTTCGAAGTAGCGTTCTCGTACTGTCTTTATGTCTGAAACGGGGACTGAGGGAGTCGGTATTTTTACCACTCCCTGTCTGAAAAAGATCGTGCAGACTGGTGAGCCGCTACACAAGCCTGAGTACGCATGCGCTCTGTGAATGAGGTCACATGACTTGTGGATCATGTCGAACTCGTCGATAACGAGTACGAGTGCACGCGCCTGAGCATGTAATGGGCATGTTTGGTATATGCGCAGACATTGCACGCTGCAGCTGGCAGCAGCGACGTGTGTATGTGTGCCGGACCGCAGCGATTTTTGCATCTCCTTCCCGCTGTGTCAAAGTTTTATCGTCAGTCTAGTCAGTCATGCATGTCGTCGTTTGTTTCTCATACTTGTTCAAGAAGTGCTCACCACCCGTCATCTGCCAACAAATGGTTGGTTTAGTTTCCACGTTGACCTCAGTGGGCCTGTAGTTTTGGTGGAGGTGGAGGAGGACGCGGACGGCCACAGTCATGGAGTGGCAGGAGGCGCGGCAGTGGATGATCCAGGCGAAAACCTTTCCACCAGGACATCCCGGCGTTCGTCCAGATGCTGGTCTGGATGATTTTGCCAATTGCTTGCGAGATGGAGTGTTCCTGTGTCAGCTGCTGAATAAGATTATACCAGACGCCGTTCAGCATTTTCATCCTAGAGCTACATTGGAGGTAAGGTGTCCCTGTCCAACGACTGCCGTCCATCGAATCCCCACACGATCTGCTTTCCGTAAATGTGTGCTGCTCATGCAGTGTGAGCAAATATTTTGCAAAGCACCCCTTTCCTCTTGCGATTGAGTCTAAGCGAACGGACGGTGTCTTTGCTGTACCTGCGTTCAGTTCAAATGCATTCAGAACATCAACTCCTTCCTGCTGAGCGTCAGTGTGGCGTTCGGGATCCAGGATGAAGACCTGTTCCAGCCGAACGACTTGTTCGAACTGACAAACTTCTCTGCGGTAAGGCACACGGACATTGCATTCTGCACCACCCGCACACAATCCACCACACCCGCATGATCTGCATGCCGCTTTCGAGGAACGTGTCATGCTTCTTTTCTCACAACCTTCACCTTCCGAACAATTTTAGTAACATTTGAACAGCTAGGTGTGAACGGAGAGGTCTTTCTCTTTTTCTCGGTTTCTGGCCGAAGTGCAAGCTGATAAATTTCGAACCTTCAATCATCTGTTCAATAATCGTGGTTTGGTGTTACGCTCGTTTTCAGTTGCAAGTTGCTTGAAAGGATGCTGTGTGTGTGTTTGTTGTACTGCATAATTCCATTCCTGCTTCTCCCGCTGCAGGTTGTGAAATGTTTGTCAGCCCTCTCCCGCACCGAGGCCGCAATGGCCTTGGGATTGGAGTAAGTTTTGCTCGTGCATGTGCTGGTGATGTCTGCTTGAGAATGTTGTTCCTAACTTCGTGAAGTTGCGAACCGCAAACTGTCTGAGTGGCGACATGAGCATGGTTTTACTCTCTCCGTTCGTACGCTCGTCTTGTACATGCACCCACAGTAACTCTTGTACACGTACCCACAGTGACTCTTGTAGATGCAACTCTTGTACATCTGGTACATGCACCAACAGAAACTCTTGTACAATGTCATGTACCTACCTCTTGTACATGTACCTAGGCTACAGGAACTCTTGCACACACAGTGCTGGGGAACATTGCTTTCTGATATGCACCCACCTACACCCACCTACACACACACACACACACACACAAACACCTGTCCTGTTGACCCGTTGCCGTAAAGGTGACGTTGTCCCAGGAGGAGGGAGAGGAGCATGCACGCCGGTGTGACATAACATCTCTGGTCTGGCGGAATATCCGGGAGCACACACACACCACACACACACACACACACACAGGCACCAGACTTCACAGCAAACTTTCACGGGCTTTCTAGTTGCAACAGGAATGGAAACGCCAGTACGCATTCCACTCCAGTTGAGTTCCATGAGTTTGGCTCTCTAGTCACACTGGGCAGAGCCTCAGTATTTTCCGATGATTTGCCGATGGACAGAACGAAGTGATGCTATCCGTTCTGGTCAAAACGTAATCAGAATAGTGCCAGCCATTTCGGTAAACAGATGTACTGTTCAGCTATTTTGAGGTTATGCGATGTAAAGCGCATGTTATGTGTTGACATGGTTGTATGCATCATATGTACTGTGGAGAGTAGCGAAGCGTTGCTTTCGATATCACTTTGTACAACACATTCCAAAGTCGATGTGTTCGTGTAGACTGTATGCCGTGCAGCGTGAACTATGCCAGAACACAATCCGCGCTCTTCCCGCAGGAAATCTCTATGTTCAGTTTGTGCTGCCTTGCATGAAACAATAGCTAATGTTTTATGAATGTAAGGTGCGGGGAAGTATCTGTTCGGGATACGCCTGGTACCTTAGAAAATACAACATGGCGTATTCATTTGTGTGAATGCATAATGTACTGTTTTGCATTGTATTGTACTCATATTAGACATTCAAGTGCAGTCTGACTTCGCTTATCCGGATCCCTCGCAATTCGGAAGCAATTCGGAAGAAAACCGTTGGTTACCGATTTTCAGCATAGTTATGTCATGCATACATACAGTGTGTGTGCTCGATTATCCGGTTCCCTCGCCTATCCGGATATTTTTTTGTGAAAAACGGATGTGTGCGGTTATGCGAGGTCTGACTGTAGATTGTTTATGAATGTAAGGTGCAGAGAAGCATCTGTTCTTAATGCTACTGGTGCTGTACACATACAGCACAGCGTATTCATTCTTGTGAACGTATATTGTACTGTTTTTGTATTGTATTGTACTCGCCTTTTAAAATTTGTATACGGTGAGCTCTGTGATAATTGTGTTGTCCTCTATGACGGGACGCTAGTTACCGAAATATTTTGCTGTATTAATTTTCTCGTTCTCTGTGGGTTTCTTTCGTGTTTGGTGCAGGCCATTCCCAAGGGGTGCCGGTAGCGTCGATTTGAACCAGAGTGTGGAGGAGGATATTTACGGCGATCTGGAAAACGTCGCCTTGTAAGTACCGGTGGGAACTTGTCAGTCCTCTTCTTGGAGAGCTGTTGTTTTCACCCTGTTCTAGCGACCGAGGAATGTTACGATCACTTGACCAGGGCTGTGTGTCTTGAGGAGACAAGCAGGTGTTGCAGTTGAAACGCGTCTCCGTAGTTCTGTGTGGCAAAACTGGCCAGACTGGCAATATTAATTCCACCCCCCCCCCCCCCCCCACCCTACCCCACCTGCATAAATCAGCTGCATGTATGCGCATTGTATCTCATCCGCCTGCTACCAATAGGAAGGTTTCGCGCTACGGAATACGTATGAGAATAACGTAAGAACTGCATGTAACTTTCTTACGTAAAATCTGCGCTGTTGGGTTTCGCTCTACGACTGCTAAGCATGCCTTGTTGCTTTGGAGACGGGTTGGCTGCATGCACCCGCCCCATGCACCACGAACCGGAACTGCGTTTTCCATGTTGTATTCCACGTGGTGTGTACCTTGTGTTTCGCGCAGCTTGAACGTTGCCATGGATAAGTCCGGAAAATGCGAAAAATATTTCAAAAAGCCCTACGTAGGAAACAGCTTTCCTGCGGAAATCCGTAGAGAGATTTACGTATGAAAGTTGCCCTCGCTCCCCGGCGCATACGACATACGGATTTTCATGCGTAATAATTACGTAGAGCGAAAACTCCCGAATAGCTACCTGCCAGTCACACCTGGTTTGTCTTGGCAGTGAATACACGCCAAGTTAATCGTGTCTTGATTTGTGTTGCGCTGTCCTTTTTGCAGAACAATCAAGGCAACAGGCTCGTCCCGACAGCCTGGTGATGAGACAGATTACGGAGAAGCCGAGAATATGGTACCGGAGGAAGAACTCGTCTACTCCAGTGAACAAATGGACGAGGACATTTATGGCTCGCTCGTCAACTTCAGCAAAACGGCACAGGAGACGGCGAAGGGTGGCGGATTTGCGGGTGAGTGGTGCAATGTGTGCCGTTGCGTTTTGCCTCTTTTCGTGGCTGGTACATTTTGCCTTTTTCTGTTGAATGGTTCTCTGGAGGGCATGTGGACAGGTGTGTGCGGGAGTAACAAACACCGACACGCACACACGCACGAGCTTACACACAGCTATATCCTTGGTCTGCTGCATTTGTCGGCACTAATAATACTGTCTAGCCGGTACCCTAGCTGGGCAAAGAATTGATCACTGAAGATCTCTACTTCTACAGGAAGCAGAAAGTGCAACGCTGGCTCAGATCTATTGCAATGGGAACGCTGCTGCCACCGTACTGACATTCTACTTGCATGTGTGTGTGTGTGTGTGTGTGTGTGTGTGTGTGTGTGTGTGTGTGTGTGTGTGTGTGTGTGTGTGTGCGCATGTCGACAATATTCAATCCAGGTCTTCCGGAAAAGCTAGGTCATATTGTTGCTGAGCTTGTGGAGACGGAAAAGAGCTACGTTGACGTGCTCAACATCCTCTCGGAGCACTACATCAATCCTCTGACAAACTTGTTGGATGAGAAGAGCCGCGATGTCATCTTTATCAACTTACCGGTGAGTGATTCATGGTCTTGCGAATCATATCTCCTGATTATTTCAATATGGTGCATCAGGGTGCTAGTGGGGGGGGGGGGGGGCAGAGGAAGCAAACAGTTCACCCATTTTCCATGTTCCACTATTGCCTTGTCACGAAAGAGAGATGCAGAGACCACCCGGAGCGATCGATTCGTGGCTGCATTTTCGCTGCGTGAAGTGAAAAAAACAAAAATCGAGCAATCAGAGTAGGGAAGAGGGACTGCAACACTCTACCCCCCCCCCCCCCCCCTCTGGCTACCGCCCTGGTGCATGCCATCCTGGCTGTACTAAGTCTTGTGATGTGGTGATGGTGGCGGTGGTTTATGTTGCTGCTATGTGTTGCGCTTAGTGGTGTGCACGGGTAGTCGGGTACCCGTCTACCCGAGGTCCTCACGGGTACCCGTGCTACCCGTGAGGACCTCGGGTAGACGGGTACCGAATAGTACCCGAAAACCCGAAGTCGCAGATGACATCATGTACAGTGTACATGTACAAATAATTCACGCATGTCTACCGAGTGCGCAAAGGAAGGTACCGGTGTGCATTGTGGTCTTACCATGGAAACATTACCCGATCGGGTACCCGTGCTACCCGTGGAGAACTACCCGGACCCGATACCCGAAGAAAATGCTACCCGACTCAGCCCTAGTTGCGCTACTATTGCTACTACTACTACTCCTACTGCAATGTTCCCCGGCCGGGTATCTCTGTTTCGCTGTGCTTGTGGTGATGGTGCTGCTTCTTTTTCCTGTTATCCTCCTTGCTTTTGTGTAGGAATTACGCGAGGTGCATACTGGATTCTTGACCATGTTGGAAGCACAGGTCGAATCCGGTGCTCAGCTCATCAGCAAATGCTTTCTGAAACACGTAAGAACTAATCCTCATCTCCTTGCCCCGGGTGCACTCCAGTGCCCGGACTATATTGCTTTCTAAAATGCCGCTCCCTTCGGATCACCCCTCATTGACAATGTACAAGATTATTTTCCTCGCTGGGGTCCATGTTTGCCCAATGTACAGCATAGTTTGCGTACATAAATTACAGTGAAATCTGTGACTAACGACCACCCCTTGGGGCCAGAGCAAGCGGTCTTTAGTGGCAGGTGGTCCTTAGTTAGAGGTTTGCACCCCACAACCATGATTATATGAATGTGAGACCGTCCGTGCCTGGCTCAGTGGTCTGTAGTACCAGGCTGGTCGCTAGTCACGAGAGTCTTTGGTTACAGGTTTTGTTGTACGTGCTATTCAATCCGCTATTGTATCTGTGTGTTTACTGTTTGTGTGCAGGCGGACGATTTCGTGAACTACGGTACCTACTGCGCTGGCCTGCCCCCTAGCCAGACCAAGGTAAGGACGCCAGTGACAGTGCAGCAGTGCACTGAAGTGCACTCATGTGTGTGTGTGCATGTGTGTGTGTGCGTGCTTTTCTAGTTGAGATCCACTACTGTGCCGAGGTTGTTGTCTGTCATACACGTGTGTGCGTGTGTGTGCGTGTTCGGAATGTGCCTAGCAGCAAACTTACCAAATGAATGACTTCAATGGCTGAAGTCCAGTACTGAGTCAGTGATGGAGCGGGGAGGGAAGGGCGGGGCTGCATGGTTCGGATAAACAAATGCGTATTGTCTTCGATCCGTTTTGAGCTTTTGGGTGCACCTGGATACTATGTGTGTGTGTTTGTGTGTGTGTGTGTGTGTTTGCTTGTCTGTGTTATCAGGTGCAAGAATTGATGGATCGACCTGACATGGCCAAGACGTTAGATGTAAGTGGCCTGCTTCTGCAAGAAATTGCTTTTCTTGCTACACGTTGTGTTTCGACTGCGCAATGGCTTGTTACCGTCTCCTCGGCCTTCAGTGCGTACCTACTGGTCGCTCACTGAAAGCTGTTGTTCATAAAAAAAAGCTTGCACTGATATTCACACTGATCGTGTTTGGTAGTTTTGTACCGCCGGTATAAGCTCATTGCCCATTTCCAAAATAATAGGGATTGCACGAGTAATGGATTTGACTACGCTGGGATCAGCAATGCGCTGTTCAACAGCCCGCACGACCATGCCCGGGTGGCTGTATGGCGTGTTGACGGTACAATTTACGTCATTGAGCAATGGGCTCATTGTGTTTGCTAAGCCGTTTCTTGCTTTCTGCTGTGTTGTGTGACCGCTTCATGACGTAGGCGTGCAAGAAAGCATCCAAACAGCGTTTCAACCTGAAGGAGTTGTTGAGCGTACCTATGCAGCGTGTGCTTAAGTATCCGTTACTGCTCCGAGTAAGTTTGAGGCCTGCATGACACGCGTTATGCCACCTTTCTTGCGCATGTGTGTTTGAGCATGGGTGTTTGCTTGAACGAAGATTATCTCAGCAAGCAGATCCTTTGATGCATGTGTGCGAGAGAGTGTGTGTGTGCGTACTCGTGCATACTTTCGCTACAGATTAAATGTCGCTATTTTCACGACCATCACGCATTCGCGAATATAAATCGCCGCAAACTGCTCTGTACATTGACCATTGACAGTATAAGGTCTAACTGAAGAGATACAATCGCACAAGTACGGAGGGTCCTTTGCACTGCGATGCCAGGTTGAAGTACTAGTAGTCCTGGTTGATTCCTTAGCCTCGTAGGCTGTGAACTGAAACAACGTCTGAACATGTTGCAATGACCATAGCACAGTGCCCGGTATCGTGGATTTGGCGAAGTGCAGGTGCATGCGATTGCCACAGCATGTAAATGATTATATCCAGCTGAAATGTTTTTTGTGTCCCAATTGTCCGACTGTTCGTCTTGTAGGAATTGATCAAGCAGGGCGGCAAATGCGGCTACGGAGATATCTCCGGCCTGGAAGAGGCTTCCGATGCGTTAAAGGTAAGCGCATGAGTTGCTCTCCGTCCATCCCTCTTTCACCCCTTTCCGCTGAAACTTGTTCCAGTCCAGCCAGTGAACAGCCATGACGGCACGCTGAACGAAATGCTCGGCACCTAGTTTTTTTCGCGAGCAATTCTTTGCCTTGTAACTCTATTGCTTGATCGGTGGACTGGGTCAATATGTGACAGGTACAGTAAACCAACTGTCCCAGGGACCACTACAACTAAGACCAAAAGCGTGATATGTCCAGTCCTAAAACCTTTTTCTAAGGTGACCACCTGTCCACGGAGGCGGCGTCTGAGCGATCGGCTTAGACGGGGTTCACTGTGTTTTTGCATTTTGAGATTTGACGCGACTCTTTCCTTGCTTCCGTGCCTGCAGGACGTTGCCAAGAGCGTGAATGAGATCAAGCGTGACATCGAGGCGCTGAGCACAACCCGGGAAATTCAGGCCAGTCTTCTCGACTATAAGGTAAGGCAGTGCGAAACACCCATGTCCATGTTACCGGTGAGGCGCATCGCTCGTAGTGATCCTGGTATTTGTGGATATTGGCTGTGGCTTTTTCTGTGTGAGTAGACTTGAAAGCAATTGCAACTTTACATGTTCCAGGTATAAGTAGACAACTATATCAGCTATAAAGTTATAAGGAAACAGACTTACAAATAACTTATTTGTTATGTCTGCTCTGGTTTGTGTGTGTGTGTGTGTAGGGGGAGAACTTGAGTACCTATGGTCGGTCACTGCTCGACGGTGAAGTAAGAATCAAGAACGTTGAAGACCCAAAGCCCAAGTCAAGGTATGTGCCGCTCATGTACATTGCTTTCTGGGGAGAGCATTGAGATAGTTCCTGTTTCTGTTCTTGCGACGGTGATGGCAGGAGTATGCCGCGCCGCCAGATTGTAGAACGCACGGTCTTACTGTGCGCATAAGCCAATTGTACTTTCGGATTGTTGCATTGATTCACACTCGCTTATACAGTACCAGCATGCACTGGACCTTCAGACTGAAGGGTGATGATCTCTTTGTGGAGATGTTGTAAGGAACTGTGTGTGTTGATGCTGACCAGTGATGAGTGCTTACTACCAGTACCAAGAGTACATAACCCCCCAAGAGTGTGCAACTCGACTATGGGTGCTGTCCCGGCAGAATTTCAAGTTGACGTCATTTTGATGCTGCAATGCGCAGCGCACTGTACACGGGATTATCAGACGATTCCGGAACCTGTGGTTGACCGAAGCCGATCTGATCCTGTACAGATTATTGCAAAGAAAAACGCGTGATGCGTTGACACCCGTACGCATGTTGTAAATCACTGATGCAAGGAGCATTGCGTCATAAATACTGGCGTCAACTTGAAATTCTGTCGGGACAGCAGGGTATGTGGGAGTTGCACACTCCGGTGGGTTATGTACTCTTGGCAGCACCTACTGTAAAAGCAGAAATTTTCGGTGGTGTAATATTTTCGGTATTCTCCAAAATCGGCGGTTCGGCGGAGGGAAATTTTCGGTAAACCCGCGTTCCAGGTAAGTGTACTAGTACTATACCGACATTTTCGGTGCGTTTTATTTTCGGTAAAAATTTCGGCACCGAAGTTACCGAAAATAAAACACCACCGAAAATTTCTGCTTTTACAGTATACTGTAACTCCCCATTCAGCGCTACTGGGCCTTGCCTTTGGTACTCTGCATATAAAATGCTAAAAACAGGGCCAATAGGAAGTTCTAAAACTCCAGGGTTCTGGCAACTGGGGTCCTCAAATATTTTGGAAATGATTGCCAAGACTATCAACCACAGGGTGACAGAATCGATACAGTCCCCAAAAAGAATAGCGCATCACAACAGGGGACGCAAGTTTGCTCAAATTGCGTGAAATACGCCAAATGCGTGAAATTGCAGCTGAAAGATCGCTGAAAAGAGAAGAAAAAAAGACGCGTAGTATTTCCAAGCGGGATTCGTACCAACGACCTATCGTACAAGAGGCAGGATCATGATCCAACTGACTAACAGTGCTTTTACACACCAGACAGTGCCAGAAATCACTATATATCCCATGACGTCTATAGACGTCATCCCGCGCATGGGGGGCATTTTCAATGACGTCTATAGACGTCATCAGCGTTCAATGGGTTAAAATGTGAAGTTCATCCATTTCCGTCTGATGATCGATATATTGTTTACCGAACCACTTATAACCGTGCTGTTGTGCTTGTGTGTTCATATTTCTCAGATACGCCTTCCTGTTCGACAAGGTGCTTATCATTTGCAAGAACAAGGTGAGTCGTCTGTCTCCTTTCATTCCTGTGTGCTTCCTTGCTAGCAGTAGGAATAATGCAGTAAATACTGTAATATGCCAGTGGTGAAGCCTGTTGGCTTGTCAGCTTGTGGCAGCATCTCGCCCCGGTGTGCTCGAGAATTGGTTGGTCTTGCGGTGGTATTCCTGTGATGTGTGCAGCTGGCCAGTTTCAAAGAGAGCCTTGTGATAAATGCCTGTGACCGCTGTGTGGCTCGGTGACTGTGTGTGGTGTTGAGGGTCTCTTCGGTGGCCGAATGAGATTGGCCAGGAAGGTGCCATGGAGTGCTTTGTCGGTCTTTGTTGGTTCCATCGCCAAGGCCACCATACAACTGGTGTGATGTGAGGAGCATAACTTTCTTTCCATTTGCCAAAATAAGCACAGAAGTGGCTCCTGGGTGTATTTAAGAAAGCATTTGCAAATCGTATTGTACCTACATGCATACAGTGAGCAGGCTTATAGCCGGCATTTTGCCAACTGATCAACAACCAGGTTCACGGAATCTTTATCAGAGGGCTAGCTAGTACTGGAGGTTTGCCCGATCGGATTTGACTCAGCATTGCGCTTCTCTGCACGATTCTTGTGCTAGCAGATGTCAGGTTGACTCTGACTTTTTCCTACTCGCTGGCATTTTGTTTTACCTTGCTTGCATGTTTTCCTCTGCAAAATTATTCTTGTCATCTCAGGGCGATCGCTTTACATTCAAGAAGATCCTCAAGCTGGATGAGTATGGTTTTGAGGACATGCAGCAGTCGGCGGTGAAGGGCAAGTTCTCTTTCGCATTCCAGATCCAGGGAAGGACCTCGACGGCGGCAACAAACAGCTGCCTGTTCTACGCCAAGACAGCGCAGGCCAAGGTCGAATGGCTGAAGCTGGTGAACAATGCTGTGTAAGTTTATCTGTTGAGGCAGCAGCGTAGCCAGAGTCTTCCGTGGCGTCGCTGTTTGCATTGCGCTCCAATGTTCAAACCCACTGTACTGATCTGGTCAACACGTGTCTGGATAGTATCATAGCGCGGACATCTTGCCCTATGGTACTCCTGGCTAGAAGATCTGGCCGGCGACCACTGCAAGACAGTGATAGCAGATTGCACTCTGTTTCTGTGAAAGAAGACTGTGTGTTTGTGTCAACTGTATGTGTAACATTGAATAGTGTCATCCACCCGACAGCACTGTTTGAGCTGATGCTGTAGCGCCGCATGCACAGTCCTGCTCCATGCAATCCAGTCGCGTCGCTCAAGTTTGCGCCGCATGCACCATTTTGCAGCCAAGTGTTCACGGGTCTAGGGCTGCGCAACGCCGGCCCGGAGCGTACTTGAGCGACACGGTTGGATTTCATTGAGCAGCACTGTACAAACTGCACCCATCAGCACTTCTGCTCTCTGCCCGTGCTTGTCAGCACTGCAGCATGCACACAGCTCTGTCAGAGAAGACTCCCCCCATGCGCACAGTAGAATACTTCTGGTTTCCAATGCTCTTGTGCCAGTTTGTTTTAGTACCACTGAGTTGAATAGCCAATTGAGTCATCTTTCCAAGATTCCTTTTGAGTCTCTCTCCCGGGGAGACCCACGTGACCAGTTTTGGCAGTGAGCAACAAGTACAAATAAGTACAAGTACATGATTTGAAGCCAGCAATACTGTGCAGCCTGAGTAATCGCTGTCATTTTCCGTATTGTCCTCTTGATCTTCTAGGTCCAACATCAACAAAACTGGACCCTCGGCCAGTAAGTTACTTCTTTTAACCTTTTCACGCACCGCCTGACTATTCCCACAACTGTTCTGCACGTTGCTGGCTATTGCATTATGTATGCGTTGGGTCTTTGAACGCACACATGCACTATGGTATGTGAACCCAATCTGGGCAGGTTTCATGATCTAGCGTTGCGAGCGTAGAAGACGGTGGCTCCAGCATCAGCGGCAACCACCTTCTGCATTTAGTCTTACCGCCGCAGTCACGCCACTTCATTTCGGGGCTGAACAGCTGCAGAATATGAATGTTGTGCACATGCCATATTTGGGTGTGTGTGTGCACACTGTGCCAACATGTGAAGTTGCTGGCAACCTAGTGTCCCTGCTAGTGAGCCACTTGAGAAAAACTACTTGTTTTCACGCGATCTTTCCTGAGTATAGTTGCTAGAATTGTGCTGATTGAACGTATTGCCCATGTGTGATTGTTGCAGGTGGACACAATTTCGACCTGACTACATTCGATTGCCAGACACAACGATGCTCGGTCTGTCGGCGATTGATGTGGTATGTTCCGTGCCTATGAACTGGGTTGTGAACGTGTGGCTCGACGACGTGCAATGCACTGGCCCTTGCGCTAAACTTATAATTATTTCCTCTTCTTCCACCCTTGGGGCGTTGCACATTTGTACACTTTTGCTCGTCCTTTCCCCACACACGTACACTAATGCATCGATGGAGAGAGAGAGAGAGAGAGAGCTGGTTATCTTGTTGTCAGTATGGCTAACTCATATCTACTCTGTAGAGTTTCTTTCTGGTGATGGAGCTATCTGGTCTGTTTTGCTCCCAGCACCATTCATCCTCTTCCAGTATGCTGATGGTCTCAAGCCAATACAATGTGTATGCGTGTGGTGCTTGTCTCGTGTGTGCTCACAGGGGTCTTATCCTGCAGGGCTACCGCTGTTCGGTGTGTGAGAACGCTGTGCACGGCGACTGTCTGACCAACATCACTGCAAGGTGCCACGGCCAGGCCCAGGGTGGCCAGTCGTCCGCTCACCTCTGTAAGTACATGTACCGTATCTACCCGGATACGAGTCGTGCCTCTGCTACACTTTGTAGGGAGTCTCACCTCCCGCCGTTTTAGGAGCTGCATGTGCCTTAATCTTTGAGGGTGTTGCAGCGGGTGCGGAAAGCTCTGTCTCTAGCCGAGTCTCACGTGAGCCGTGAATTTTTTTACACTGAACTTCAAGTCTCGCTATCTCCAAATGGAATGCAGTTTGTGTGTTGTCCATCTGATGTACATTAGACATGGCTTCCAGGTCACGGTCTACTGGTGTGTTGTCCTCATTGAGTGATCTACCACATAATATGAAAGACTGAATACTGCAATTATTTTGGACACCATCTCCCTGTGATGTGTTGAATGATCGCATCAATTTCAGTGGAAGGACACATTGCAAACCCCTTCCACTGAAACTGTTGACTGTCAATGAAACAGAAGTCTGGATCGCGAGCACAAAGACCTGGCTTGTTATGATCGTGATTTCTGTGTGTATTCTCATCCTTTGCTTGCACAGCTGCTGGTGGTCCGAATGTGCGTAACACGGTGTCGCGGGCTAAGGACAGGTGGATGAGCAGTACCTTATCGCCAGAGGTATTCCGGCCCACTTCCTCCGCCTGTCTTGTTTTCTTTTGTTTGTGGATCTCAATGCCTCTCTCTCTTTCTATCTCTCTCTTTCTCCTTCTCTCTCACTCTTTCTCCCGGGCCAAATGTGCTGCAATGACGAGAATCAGTCCCAGACTTACAACATGGTGTTTTTGTTTTAATTTCCGAGCAGCACGGACGCCCGAATCACATTTGTGTACTTCTTCTGGTGCGTTGTACGGTTTTCTTTGTGCCCTGTTCACATTCTTGGTTTGGATGTTGTGCGCTTCTTGGTGGCTGTAGGCTCGCAGGGCAGGGGGTGGAAACCGCGGTATAGTTCAAGCAATGCAGAAGTGAGTTTTTAGTGTCCTGGTGCTTGTGTGTGTGTGTGCGCGTGCGTGTGTGCAGGTGCCACACCTGACTAGTTATATCCTTTGTATTGCATACATTGTGAGATGCACATACCGGTGTGCTCGGTAGTCCGTGGGCCACTGGCTCTATCAGAAATTCTTTAGGGCTTTCTGGATGTAGATCTCCCTGGTTTTGCAATGGCTGGAGGGTATCTGACACTTGTTGTTTTCAAATCAAGTCTTTATTCTCACGATAGCCAGTGGCCAAAAAGAGTTGTTGTTGTTGTTGTTGTTGTTTTTTGAATTATTTATTCTTTGCTGTTGCTGTTGTTGTTGTTGCAGCTATCAAGGTCTTCCGCCGCCCACAGGCTCATTACCGGCGCTGATGTTTCAACCTGGTGATGAGATTGATGCCTTTATTACAAGTGCCGACTTCTGGGAGGTATGTCGACGCTCTGTTCTTCTTTCTCTTTCTGCCTGTCTGCCTGCCTGTCTGTCTCGCACACACACCGCCAACATTGCAACTTGTGCTGGGGTCTACACCATTCCACTGTTTGCATTCTCAGGAGTTCGCCGTCCCTATTTTGCCGGACAGCAACACGCGGCACACTTCAGAGCCCTATGAAAGAGGAGTAAGGAGAAAAACGACGGGTGCGCTTTTCTGTGATCATAGTCCTCGGGATATAAACCAGTAACCTCTGGGCTGGACCTCAACCGCGCATACCGTAAAGTACCGTTGATCCGCCCCCTCTCTAATCCCGCACCCTGTCTATGTTCTACCTGTGAAGCGACTGTGGCTTATTCAACGAAATGCGATTTTGAACCGACGCATGCCCTGCTGTACACAATACGTGCCAATCCAGGATAAAAATGTGCACGATCCAGCACATCGAGTCTGATCCTCCACGTTGTTGTACATCGTACTGCACTTGACAGCCTTGATCTAATTCCCGCCCCCGGCCGAAAACCCAGCTGGGAAGCGACATGGCGTGGGGGGGGGGGGGGATCAACGGTACTTTACGGTACATATCTTACATTCGTTGCTCGCCCGTGTCATAAAGTGGAACGTTCATCCAAAGAATATTTCTTCCTTCAAGGAAGACGTATTCGATGGATTTGTTTTTCCGTAGAAGAATTCTGTTTATGACATCATAGAGCATAACCCAGTGCCATCTTGTTGTTTCCTTTTCTTTCATTCGTCTTCCAGGGCACGAACACGCGAACTGGCCTGACGGGATCCTTCCCAGCAGCATTTACCAAGCGTAAACTGGAGGAGTTAGCTAGTCCGTCGGCCCCAGCAAGAACGCGCGGTGTAAGTACCAGCGATACTTGATCAGAGCGCCAATGCACTCACGTGGTGTTGCTCTAACCCGGTAGTGTTATCGCATGGAATCACTTTGACTGCCTTGTGTTCCAATCTGTTCCCTAGCTCGCTCTCTCTCTCTCTCTTTCTCTCTCTCTCTCTCTCTCTCTCTCTCTCTCTTCTCTCTCTCTCTCTCTCTCTCTCTCTCTCTCTCTCTCTCTCTCTCTCTCTGGTATACACTTGCAATCAACCCTCTCACATGCGGGCACGTTGCGAGGTTGTCTAACTCAGAACACTGCTCGCATGGCACACGTGTAACCTGTCATACTGAGGATAACTGAGCAAGGCATACGCCTCCATTGCGCAATGACGTCATTTCTACATCAAGACCTTACTCAGCCACCGGAAAAATTGTGACGAAACGTACACAGGCTGAATAATGGTGTGAGTTGTGGTTGTAGTGTGTACATATTACCTAGCCCAGTAGAAGGCGGTGTATGGTAGACGAGGGCAGCTTGATAATACTTAATAGAGGGTTGAGTGTATGATGTGACTTGCACAAGATCTGATGCTGGACAAACTGCTTGTTTTCTGGACTTTGCAGCAGAAAACCTCCTACGAGAACACCGAGCTGAAATTCAACAGTGGCAATCGTGGTGGCGGCGCTGTCTCAGAAAAGTAAGTAGATGCTTGATGAGTGCATTGTGTTATCCAACTGTTGGTGTGTGCCGCGTCCTCAGATTTTTGTGAAGTTGTTTTGGTAGTGTGGAGCACCATCGAGTCTATACCGAGTCTGGCTTCGTCTCCAACATGAGTGTTTGCGTTTGTCAAGTGTCTTTTACTGACCGTTTGCCTTCTGGCTACCTTTTTCCGTGTGTGTGTGTGTACATTTCCGTGTGTGTGTGTGCGTGTACGAATGCACAGACGTAGTCTACCACTGCCCCCTACGCCGGCACTACCGGGAAGTCCCGGTAGTCCCTCGTTGCCGCCATCTTCACCGCGTGGCAAATCCCTCACGTCCTACTCTTGGTAAGGGACTTTCCCCCGTTACTGTGGCTGGTGTGTGGGACTCCAGACAGATCAGACCTTTTGGCATAGTTTGTTGGCATGTGTTTGTGCGGTCTTGTCGCGTCTTGTATACTGTGCAGCACAGCTGTCCTCTGTTGGGCGCTGTGGCAAGTGCATACTCAAGCACACATCGTGTAATTTGTTGTCGCTTTTGCTTCTTGCTGAGCTTATTTGGGACTACCAAATCTTCTGAGTTTCTCCAGGAATAGTCTGTTTTCTTCTTGATAACTGCAGAATTTTCGGTGCACAGCAAGAATATAGTTGTTTGTTGTGCTGTAATGTCAATGCCATGATTTGTCCACGGTGCAGGTATGTTGGCAAAATGTCTCGGCAAGGGGCTGACTCCTCGCTTCTCTACTCCGCCAACGGTGTCTTCCTGGTCCGGGAGAGTGAAGCCCGTCCTGGCACCTACGCCTTGTCGATAAAGTGAGTTGCCCTTCTCTCCCTCCTTACTTGCTAACCCCCTTGTCTCGCTCTCGGTAATCTATCATCCTCAGCCAACACATAGCAAGATTCTTTGTTGCTCTTGCTTCAGGATCCTGCTGTTGGCATTGTTCACTGGATGCTAAGTGTATTCTGTCTGCTGCATCCTTCTTCTCTGTGTCAATGATCAGGTACAACGCCGGAAAACATATCAAGATTGTTGGTCAGGATGGCAAGGTCTACCTCAGTGCCGCCAAGAGATTTTCTGATATTCCGGTGAGCTCAGCACACCTGTTCCAGCTCCGCGGTGCATTTCTGTTGACGTGCTTGTAGAGGCTATGCCATGTCTCGGGTCTTGTGTGTTTGAAGATTGTGATGGCTCCCGCTTTTATGTTCTACCAAGAGTACATAGCCCCCAAGAGTGTGCAACTCCAGCTATGGAGTCTGCGATGGCAGAACTTCACATCACGTGATGAGCCCGTACACATTTTTTGCACTCTGTGCATGATTGATACAGGGTTGAACGCAACCCAGCTTTGGGCTCAACTCTCTTGTGGTCACTTTGCACTGTTTACCAGCGTAACCTTTTGAACCATGTCACGTGATGTGAAGTTCTGCCGTCGCAGCACAGCATAGAGGTTGTGCAGGCAGTTGCACACTCTTGGGGGTTATGTACTCTTGGTTCTACTCTATTCTATTCGCTGTGAAAAAATCAAAATGCTCGTTGTGTCATCAGGTGTCTCATCAGGTGTCTGGTTTGCATTTGTCATCGGAACACTAGCATATTTTGCCAGAGACCTTGGTATTGTCTTTGCCAGTGGTGTGTGATATGCCTGTCCGGTCCCTAAAAGGGAGTCTTCCCATACCGGCCAAACACAGTCGAGAGCTCAGACGACCTGTCGCTGTTTCTTTCGAATGTCGGAGTCTGGTGTGTCACGCCGCGTGTGATTGGTGGAAACTTGAAAGGCATTCCGGACAGATTTTGACATTCATACCTGAGCCGTTATCCTCTGATCCCACTAGGTGATAGCTTGCTTTGCCTAGCTAACGCTTCACTTGGCATGTGTCTGTGTGTATCGTCCCAAGTGATGGCCACCAGTAGCTGTTGCTCTAGTAGTCCTTGTAATTGGGCCACTCCTGGGTGGCTGGGTGTTGCGCATTGTAGATATGTGCACGTGCCGTAAAGTCGTGTATAAAAGCCGCGGCTTATATGACTATCTGGGGGAAGTTTTGCAGGCATCTACATGAGACAGGCTTTTACACAAGACAGGTATTTCTATGTATGTCAACACTACATTATACAAGCACGCTTATGTGGCGACAGTGCATCTTGAAAATCAGGACTCTACTAGTATATGAGACCGGCTTCAATACAAGACACTACGGTATACATGGACATGTAGATTGTACACGCTGTATCCAATGTTGTTCTTGTCCCTCTCCTTGCTCCCTTTCCGTGTGTACTCTGTGCAGGAAATGATCCACTACTACAAGACCAGCACACTGGTGCACAGCTTCCCGGGTCTCAACACCACACTGCTGCAGTCGTTCGGTGACACCACTAGCAAATGCATAGCGCAGTACGACTTCAAGGCACGGACAGAACATGAACTGAGTATTGAGGTGAGTTTCGTTCACAATCACCACTGGAACTCAGAGGAGCGTAGTTGAAGAATATCCTAGCGGTGTTGTCCGTGTGTAGTTTCCTCTCATCAAGGTTTCTGTCTTAGTCATGGGGTTTGTATGACGTACGTACTCTCTCTCTCTCTCTCTCTCTCTCTCTCTCTCTCTCTCTCTCTCTCTCTCTCTCTCTCTCTCTCTCTCTCTCTCTCTCTCTCTCTCTCTCTCTCTTGTGTCACAGGAGGAATGTGAGATACTAATCATTTCCAAGACAACAGCCACTGCTGGTTGGTGGTATGGAAGTCGCAATGGATGCAAGGTGAGAAAACGGTGCCGCTCTCTTTACATTTGCATACGTTCACCCCTGTTGATCGCATAAACGGGCATGCGGGTGGCAAAACGAGACTAATGAAATTAGCGTTCCAATGAAATCCAGGTCTTCATGTCTTCTCTGCAATGACATTGAGATTTGGTGCCTTCACAAACTCATTTCGTCTGAGTGGCTAATGCTTGTCTCTCTTTCCTCTTTCCTTGCAGTTTGGTCTCTTCCCTTCCAATTACATAGAGGAAATCGGCAGCTAAGGCGGCCAAAACATGCTACGGGACGACTCGCTTCCAAACCTAACCAAGGAAAGTTTCGGCTGGTCGGCACAGCTGTGCCTTGCTCCTCCGGCTTTGCACGTGCCGCTTGAGACAGCTAATCGCAAACTCTCCGCTTTGATGTCTTCACTCAGGCTTCCCCTCAGATGACGTTGCTGTGTGTCAAGCATGCATGCTGGGCATTTTCTTTTTCTTTTCTTTTTTTTGTCGCTGTACATAAACAATAATAGACTCTCTTTTTTTGTTCCGCTTCTTTTCATTGTCCTTCTAATGTTCTTTGTTTTGATAAGCACGATCCGATGTAAGGCATCTAATTTAATCACTGCTACTCCACTTCGGTGTATTCCCCGCTGCCAATCATTTTCTGCAAATATCCGTCATCAGCATCATAAGCTTCATCCTCCTCTTATGACCAACGTGACTTTCCTCCCCACTGAGCTTCTTTTCTCGCCTTCTCTTTCTCTTCTTTTTAGCATCCATATCGAGTGCTGTGTGCACCTTGAGCGACATGATCAGTTCTCATTGCGTAATACTGCCTCCGCGATTGATGTTGTCTCGCAAAGCGGTTGATCCGCGATGACCCTCATCTCCTCTGACCTTCTTCTTCTCCCCATTAGTACTAATCATGAGCGGTACAACAGGTGGTGGCAATCAACACTCAATTGTCTGTTTTCCCCACATGTGGTCGGGTGTGTCTGTCTGTCTGTGTGCTAGTGTGTGTGTGCGTGTGCACATGTGTGGGTTGGTGCATGCTCATTTTCAGGACAGGGTTGTTTCAATTCTTGTCCATGTGCTATGCTCTACTATGCTACTTATGCACTCAGGACAGCATGGACATGTGCATTACCTGGATCCGGCCAGTGGGTGCACCACTTTTCTGTACACTTTCCTGCTGAAACCTGGTCGAATTGTGACATTTTCTTTTGTGTTTAGTTACAATCATGCATGGATGCTGCGAATGGGGTTTTCTGTCTCTGACCAAAGTTCCATTGTGCCCTGGTGCAGGGTTAGTCTCATCTGCTCACCGGTATCCGCTTTAGGAGCTGCCTCTGTGCCGCAGTGCTTGATAGTACTAGCTTTAAACGGATGTGAACATTTTCGCTTCACACAAACAATGAAACTTACTATTTGACACAATACTGTAAGACATGTTAGTAGTGAGGTTCTGCCACACGGTAAAACGTGCCAAAGTACGTATGGAAACTTTGCCGCGGTACGGGATTTAGTTTGATACGGATTTTTTCATACCGTTTTCCGTGTGAAGCGCGCTTCACACGGACTGGATTCCGTGTGAAAAGTGAGCGTACAGAGCTACATCGAGTACATGTGGCGGGGTGTTCGTGCATGCTTCGAGCATGCTACGTACAGCAGAACCGGTGCAACGTAGGAAAAATCCGTGTCAAACTTCACTGCAGTTGACACGGAATTTGGTACGTAGTTCCGTGTAGCAGAACCTCTCTAGTATAACGAGTCGCAAATTTAACGATTGTCCAAAATTCATCGGTTAACGAGAAGATACGTCAACGATCTTGCAGTATTCTGCCATATCCACACTCAGCATAAGCAGTACGGCCTCAACGGATCTTATTATAACGAAGAAATGTCATCCGTTAAAACGTTAGATTTGCTTCCTCGTTATATACATGTCTTACAGTAGCGGTACGATAAGGGGTCGTCGCAAAAGTTTTTTGTCGCCCGTGAAATTAACATGATTCGTTGGGGGGGGGGGGGGGGTATAATAATACTCTTGATATGGCAATGTACATGCATGCCATTTTCGTCGTCCAGCATAGCAAGCTGTATTCGTTTCAGAGGGAGGGGAGGAGGTCCGAGTACGAAATGAAAGATGTTCGTTTCAGGGACGACAGAAAACTTCTGCGACGACGCCTATTAAAGTGTACCTTGTACTGTAGCAAGAGTAACATTCTGCACATGCATGCATGTTTATCAAACACGAGTACCGGTACTAGTATTATACCGCCCAAAGACTACTTGATTGTGTACAGTCAGACCTCGCTTATCCGGTCCTCTTTTATCCGGATCCCTCGCCATCCGGAAGAAAATAGCTGGTTACAGATCTACAGCATACGCAATGCATCCTACATAACCGGTGTTCGGTTATCCGGTTCCCTCGCCTATCCGGACATTTTTTGTGGAAAACGGATGTGTGCGGTTAAGCGAGGTCTGACTGTATCTTTGCTACAGCATACTGATGCTAGCAAGAGCATTATGAGTATACTATTATAACCCCCTCCCATTATTATACTCTTGGTACGAGCAAGAGTACATGAAAACCAGAGTGTGCAGCTTGGGGCTTTTTCTACTACATGTATAGGTGTCTGTCACGGCGGAAGTCCGTGATTACATCATAATATTTGGTGCAGATCTGAGGCGGGAAGCGGCGTAGTGTATACAACTGAGCTGCAGTTGTGCAGAAAGAGACCTGCTTGAATCCTGCTTGTACGCACTACATCACTAAAATGATGTAATCACGGAATTTAGCCGTGACAGCAACCCATCAGAGCTGCACACTCTGGTTTTCATGTACTCTTGATTGTACTCTTGGTACTACTACTGTAGTAGTATGCGGGCTGAGCTCTAACCAGTCAGGGATGATCGCTGGATCTGCGCCTCATGCACTTACACCAATCAGCGGCGCTGTAACAGCCAGCAGTCCTCCACGGGGCCGGGGCAACATGATTCCTGCCATTGCAGAGTGCGGCAATGCACCCACTTGTACGAGCAGTCTTCTACCGTCATTCGAATCTGCTCTGCGCACAGCTAGCTAGCAATTCGAACTAATCGTTTGCGTGTGTTAAAACACAAACCCAATATTGAAAGAGGTCCACCCCCATCGCTTCCCGGCTATACAAGTTGAGCCGGAGCAGAGTGTAACAAACCCAGGCTGCAGACACACAGGCGTACTAGCAAAGGGAAACTAAAATATAATTTCAAAAAATCAAATCTATAAGTAGTCCAGCTACGAAATCTGTGAATAATACTAATAAGGCCAAAACAAAAAATAGGCTTGTTTCCGGTCGGCAACCCCTCAAAAAGGAGACTCGGTCGGCCGGAATGAAATTTTTTTTGGATATTTTATTTTGGTTCCTCAATTGTTGTGGTATTGATGGACAAGAGCACCTACACATGTACATTGTACATATATCACAGCAAGGATCAATGTCAAAGTTAGTTGACTGCGTACTGACTCACTGTTCTTGTACAGCATGTGGTGTATTCCTGTTTTCGTACATCCTGAGAAATCAAGCAAACAGTTCGAGTCCTTCCAGCTCCGTTATTCTAGCTCATATCGACCCCGGAGGTTTTCGAGCCGACAGCTGAGAATCTCTGCCACCTAGTAGGTGTTTCGATTGTGGAATTCGGTTGAGATTTGACTGAGTTATGACTCGTTGAGTGCACTTGCACACATGGCATTGCCACCGTTTGTATACATTTGGCACCAAAAAAAAGTTTCAGAATTTGGGAAAAAGTGGCCCGGTCGGGCGACCGGAAACAAGGTCATTATTTGTTTGGGCCTAATATAAACTGTCTGTACTACTTTGTGAAGGACATAATATTATTATAATTAAATTAATAAAAGCACATTTCTTCCAGAGCCAGAGAGGAAACACACTGTATAAATCTAGAGAGAAACTTACGTGTAGGAACGCATCCATGATGCTATGATAAACATCAGCTAAGACGGAGGAAAGAGAGTGAGAGAAAATAGTGTGTGCGCGTGTGTGTGTGTGTGTGTGTGTGTGTGTGTGAGAGAGAGAGAGAGAGAGAGAGAGAGAGAGAGAGAGAGAGAGAGAGAGAGAGAGAGAGAGAGAGAGAGAGAGAGAGAGAGAGAGAGAGAGAGAGAGAGAGAGAGAGAGAGAGAGAGAGAGAGAGAGAGAGAGAGAGAGAGAGAGAGAGAGAGAGAGAGAGAGAGAGAGAGAGAGAGAGAGAGAGAGTGTGTGTGTGTGTGTGTGTGTGTGTGTGTGAATGAGCACCACACACGCCGACACACATCCATGATGCCATATAGAGATCAGCTAAGACAGAGGGAAGAGAGAGAAAAATCGTGTGTGTGCGCATGCGTGCGTGCGTGTGTGTGAGAGTGTGTATGTGTATGTGTATGACACACACACACACACACACACACACACACACACACACACACACACACACAGAGGGACCATACAAGAGTGACCAACACATCACCGGAGCAAAGTCATGAAGCCGGACATGCTCTGCTCAGGTAGCAATGCCGAGAGCAGCTAGCACAACACCAAGCAGCAACGGGACTGACATGGCACAGGTACTAAGCGACGCAACACTACCATAGTATACTGGGTTAGTATACAGACAGAGAAATCCAAGACCACCCTGGGGATAGCGGTTCACAAAGTCGACACGTCGCAACTGCACGAAGAAGCTGCGCCCCGGCCAAGCCGGCAGCCACGTCAGCGTCTGAGTGTAGTGCGTGGCGTTACGCTCAGGCTCCGACACGTTGAAGCCGAAGCGCTCCTGCGCAACGGCCCAGCTGACGGCGGTGGCCTTGTCGAAATCGCCGTACACCTCCGTGTAGAAAAGACTCTCGAAGCGGAGGCTGAACGTGGGTGCGTACGGCGTGACACTCCACGTCGCCGTGTAGAGCGTAGAGTTGTCGCCAGTGGCCGGCCGCACCGCGCTCAGGTTCAGCTTCTCCCCGTACGCAGCGCCGCTGGAGTATCTCGGCACGCGGAAGTCCAGCAACGTGCGGTCCGAGTAGGCTTGCTGCGGAGTCGGGGAGACGTGAGGCGATGGGACAACGTACTCGGCGAACGTCACCTGCGATGTAGGCACGCTCAGCGTCCAGCAGAATGCAAACGGACGGCACTGCTGGTCATAGGCACGCAACTGCAACGACAACAATGACGGTGACGATGACGACAGCAGCAGCAGCAACACCAGCAGCAGCAGCAGTATAATTGTGTTGGTCAGACATGGACTATTTTCACTTTCTTATACCAAATGACCTCGCAACTGGCGCAGGAGTAAAACGTAGTCTCCAGATGGTTCTATCATCCATCTTTGTTTCGTAGTTCCTGCTAAATAGCCAGTAAGGGCCATGCTTCACGGCCGATTCACGGCAAGTGCCGAAGATGTTGCTTGCTGAGCAGCTTGCCTCGGTCTCTTTGTGCAATTCGCTTCTGCAGGCCCGTGTCAAGCTGCTCGCAATGGCAATGGCTCGTTGGCACACACAGAAAGAGAAGCTTCATGCTGTTCATTGGTGCTGTCAAGCTCCTGCGCTGTGTACCGAGGTAATTCCGCAAGGTTGCGAAGATAAAGGAGAACTGGATACGTGCATGTTCCCCCCCCCCCCCCCCCCCCAATCATATTGTTGCTGATTCTGCCATTCTTTCGCGATGAAGTGCTGCACAAGGCCCGCTATGCCTGCACAGCAGTTCCTGTCTCACCAAGTTCTCGTGCCGGGCCCATCGTCAGGGGGAAACAGTACGTTTTTATTTTTTACTTCGTTTTGTTTTTTACCAGTTCACCCTGATAATGTACCCGGCCCAAAACCTTGGTGAACCGGAAGTGACTTGTACAGCAGAGAGATCCGGTGTGAGTGTTTGCAGTGAGAACAGATGTACACTCATAAAAGTTAACGAACTCTTGGTAGTACCCATACCTCGAATGTATGATTGCCCGGGTCGTTAGCAAAGCCACCTGCGGACAAGTTGAATGTTTTCGCCGAGGCGTTTTGTGCCACAAGGACCGCCCGTGCGCTATGCAACGATGTCGATCCGGAGTTAGAAAAGCCGTTCGATGAGCAGCTGGGTGCACTGCCTGCATTACGGGAACACACGTAAGCACACACACACACGTGCACACGCGCAAGTAGGAAGTAACGAGCGGGTTCTGGGACAGGGGGCGCCCGGGTCCCAAAAAATGGGGTATTATTGAAAAATGGGGTACTAATAGTACCCCATTTTTGCGGTGAAAATTATTTTTGGCCCGGTTTTTTTGCGGATAAAAATATGTGCCAGGGGGTGCCCCTACCTCAAAAAAAAGGGGGTATTATTGAAAATATGTATTGGGGTGTTATGCTCTACCCTAAACAATAAGGTAATATGGTGTCATGATTTGGAATTCTACATGTATCATTAATTTTGATTTTTAGGGTGTGGGTAATATGTCCTACCCTACATCATAATATTGCATTCCGATGTCTAAAATATTACTATTTCAAATGTCAATGTTATCTCACTTTTTCCAATTTTATATTAATCAGAACTCATAGTTTTGCAGTATTTTGACTTGTAATTTCAATTTTTCGGATCATTTTCCGGACACGCACAACAACACGGGTTATCCTCGTCGACATGATTGAGAGGCGGACAGATTTCGTCGTCGCTTGTGTATCCCCGTCTTTTCGAAAGACCTTGCGATCATTGAGATCCTTGATGACACGGATGAGTTCCTGAGCTTCGATCTGCTCTCCACTTGCAAATGTCTCTTCGACAATATCCAGAACACCTGCAGCCTTCATCACGTTGTACATCGATCTTCGCCCGTCGTCCCAGCAGCGGAGCAGTCTGCCCGTATCCCGCCATGATGATGATCCATAATCCTCTACCCCATCAACAACGATCTTCGGTAGACGCTGGTGTTTCTCACCGCTCACGAGAACGCGCGTCGACACCCTGCACACATACTCCGCAATCTCCATGGGAGTCAAGTCCACCCGATCCGGGTGAAGAAGCATGGGTCTTAGCTCGTAGGCTGTGCCCAGATCGGTGAGTAACCGAACGGTTAATTCATCTTTATTACTACAAGAAAATAAATAGAACTTCTCTACATATGGTTCGGAGGTTGACCAGGCCGACATCTTTGATCTGATAGAGAGAGAAATTCTGGAGACGGTACTCGATCATCCAATGGACTCAAAAATGAATTGTGAACCAAAAATGAAATTATATCAGGTTTTATAGGTCCCGCCAAGTCCCGTCCCGCCGGGTCCCGCCTCCGGGAAGGTGACGACCTTGGAGAACACGGTGAACACGGTGCGCGCCAAAAACCAAAACGTTACTCGCGACATGCCGTGTCTTTTTTTGTTCGGGTTTGGAATCTTTCCATTGACATAAGTCAATTAGTTTTCCATCTATGTCCGTAATCGAAAGGTCCATGAGGTGTAGAATTTTTCTAGCTTTCCTCTCGTATAATTCTTTTCGACATACAACAATTCTTTCTCGAACTTTTACCTGCTGGAATACCGGATTCATCTTGACCTCAGATGCACAGATCAGGCATCCATGCATTGACGTCACAGTACATCATTGCAGCACTGATTTCACTGTGAAGTGTGGAACATGGGTCAATGCGCGATAAAAGGATGAACGTGATTTCAGCGGGAAGTGCGCTAATTGGTCACATGTTTTCAGCGGGAAGTGCGGTAAGTGGTTAATTGTTTCCAGCGGGAGATGAGTGGATTGGTTAATTGAAAAACAACCAGTTATTCCGAATTCAACTATTACGAAAACCCTATAAAAATAGGTCCTCGGTACCTTGTCAAGCCATTGTGTGGTTGTCCGCCACCACCCCTGCTCAGGATGGAACCCCTTCGGAAGAAACCTCGTCAGTCTTTTGATGTAGTGAGATCATCTGATCTGTTGCAATTCTTTAGTTATTGTCCTGATCAAGAGTTTGCAGATGTACTAAAGTTTTTCTCTCATGTTCTACCGTCGCTGGAGCTGCTTCTTGAAGAGAATATTGAGCAATGGGGTCAGTACAAGTGTTCTTTGGTAGTTCAGGTGGTGATGCAGAAGCTGAATCCTGCTACAGGACAAATGGTTTCCAACACATTCTTCTTCCGATCGAGTACAACGCTGGTGCTCAACACCATGGAGCTGAGGGACCTTCTCAGTACAATGATTGCTCAGATCAACGCTCGTCTTGATGATTTCGTTCGTCATGGATCAGGTTGGGTAGTTGAACGGATTTCCTGTTTACACATCGAAATGTCACGCTATTGTGTACTTGGAGGAAGTTCGTACATCCCCTTGCCACCGGAGTTGAAGTCGAAGAAGGCCATTGTTAACGTGCAGAACACTGACAACAAGTGTTTACTGTAAGTATAGCAGTGGGGTTTCAGTGTTGTGTTATGGTGTATGGATTGAACTGTATGCCGCCTGTCCATGTCTTATGTCATCCGTACTTTAGATGGTCAATACTGGCTGCTAAATTTTCGGCAGACAAGTCTCGTCCATGTCGTCAATCGTCGTACGCAGAACATGCGGATACTGTGGATGTGAGCGGCATCGAGTTTCCAGCAAAACTGGAAGACATACCAGTCATCGAAAGACTGAACGACGGTCTTTACATCAACGTCTTCGGATATGAAGAGAAAGTCATATATCCGTTAAGAATTTCTCAGCAACCGCAGTCCGCCATCAATGTATTGCTCATCCAAGACGAACGCAATGACGTGGAGGTGCAGCACTGGGTGTGGATAAAGTCATTCAGTCGTCTTGTTGCTACTGGAGCACGTCGAGCACATTTCGTCTGCTTCAGATGTCTCTCAACACACGTCACGGAGAAGGCATTGAATAATCATATGATGTACTGCAGTGAACATCCTGAAGCTACGGTGGAGATGCCAAAGGCTGGCGATAGAGTGATGTTCAGGAATGTGAACAAGCAGCTTCAAGCCCCATTTGTAAGTAGAACACACTGTGGTCTGTTTTTTTTTTTCTCTTTCTTTACTGCACATGTTTCTTGACTCTGAGTGTTCACCTTTCTGCTGTTTTACTCGGTGTTGTCTCTGCAGCTATTCCTAATTCTCTATCTGTCTTTTCTGCTGTTTTACTCGGTGTTGTCCCTGCTGCTATTCCTACTTCTCTCTCTCGCTCTCTCTCTCTCTCTCTCTCTCTCTCAAATGCAGGTGATCTATGCCGATTGTGAGGCTTTCATAGAACCTCTGTCCGCTGACAATAAAATCGGTCATTCGACATTCCAAAAGAACAAGCATGTAGCCTGTTCCTGTTCGTACATTGTAGTACGATCTGATGGCGTCGTCACGAACCGTTTCTTCTACCGTGGAGAAGATTCTATGTTCTGTTTTCTGCTGTCACTTGAGCAAGAGGAGGAGACTATCCGTGATGAGCTTCTAGCATGTAATGCTGGTCAAATGATCATTTCAGAAAGTCAGCAACGTGAATTTGAAACGGTAGTCTCCTGTTGGATCTGTGGTGAAGCGTTGGGTAGCGATCGTGTACGTGACCACTGTCACATCACCGGTGCTTATCGTGGTGCAGCACACAACCATTGTAACCTGAACATGCGGATTGAGCCGTTCAAGATTAAGATTCCTGTGATCTTTCATAACTTGAAGGGATACGATTCTCATCACATCATATCTGCCATTGGGAGAACGTCCATTGATGAGATTACGTATGTGAACGAGAAAGGACAAGAACGGGTACGTTACATATGCGTGGTGTGTGTGTGTGTGTGTGTGTGTGTGTGTGTGCGTGTGTGTGTGCGTGGATCATGATGTTTTTCTAAGAAGGAAGATCATTACTATGTTGGTACTCATATTCACGTTTATATGATTGATATTCATCTTTACAGCTGCACCTTAAAACTGTGTCTCCTCTTTTTCTTTCTTCTTCTCAGACCAAGCGTCTCGGTGCTATCAACGTGATTCCCATCAACAGTGAAAAATATGTCACATTCGGATGGAGACAGTTCCAGTTCATCGACAGCCTGGCATTCTTGAACACCTCCCTAGACCGGTTGGTTTCGGCTACACCACCAGATGCATTCGCCCTTCTATCCGCACGATTTCCAGACGAGGATGAACGCAAACTGTTGACACGAAAGGGTGTCTACCCGTATGAATATATGGAGTCGTACGACCAATTCGAAGAAACGCGTCTACCACCCAAGGATGCATTCCACTCAACGCTAACGAACACGGTGAGTAGTGTGACAGATATAGTAGATCTTTCTCTCTTTCTTTTTTCACCATCTTACTTCGAAGTACTAAAATAAGCCAAAATGTGTTTGAACGCTTCCTGCAGCTTCATACTAAATAATTGATTGTGTGGGCGAACTACTAAAATAAGTTCGTTGATTTGTTTTTCTTTTTGGTGTACATTTTCTATTCCCTAGGGTATCAGTGATGAAGATTATGCCTATGCGCAAACAGTATGGACTGCGTTTGACTGTGAAGATCTAGGAGACTATCACGACCTCTACCTGGAGACTGATGTGCTGCTGTTGGCTGACGTTTTCGAAAACTTCAGAAGAACTGCTCACGCAACCTATGGATTGGATCCCGCTAATTACCTCACCTTACCGGGATTTGCCTGGGATTCGCTGCTGAAAATGACGAAGGTGTCCCTTCATCTCATTTCCGACATTGACATGTTCAACTTCATTGAGCATGGCAAAAGAGGTGGCATAAGCATGGTGTCCGCTAGACACGCCACCGCCAACAACAGATATCTATCGGAATACAATCCAGACGAGCCGTCAAGCTTCATCCAATATTTAGATGCGAACAATCTATATGGATGGGCCATGTCTCAACCCTTGCCCGTGTCGGACTTCTGCTTTGAAGCAGTGACGGATGATCTTCTGGAGTCGGTACTCGATCATCCAATGGACTCTTCGACGGGACACATGGTGGAGTGCGATTTAAGGATTCCAGATGGTGTGCATGACATGATGAATGATTATCCGTTGGCTCCTGAGCAGATGAAGGTGACACGAGATATGCTTTCTCCATATCAGACCCACATGGCAGAGAAACTAATGGTAAGTCATGGTCTATCTGGTGGATATGCTTGTATTAATCTTCTAAGGTTTGTGTATATCTATACTGTACTCTTGTAGGTGAGCGGTTTGGAAGCGAAGAAACTGGTGCCAAATCTACTACCGAAAGAGCACTATGTTCTGCACTACAGAAACTTGCAGCAGTATGTGTCCTTGGGTGTGGAGATTACAGATGTGCATCGTGTGCTCTCCTTCACACAACACCCATGGATGAAGCCATACATCGACACTAATACTGACCTGAGAAAGCTATCAACTTCTGATTTCGAGAAAGACTTCTATAAGGTGGGTACTCCACTTCATGTGTGTGTGTGTGTGTGTGTATTTAGCGATAGTGTGGGATCTAGTATGTACTGGAAGTGTGAATGACCTGAAGATAACAGTTTTCTTATTGTTGTTTTTCTTGTCTTTTCTTTGTATGCCTGTTTATCATAGTTGATGAACAATGCTGTATATGGCAAGACCATGGAAAACGTTCGAAACAGAGTAAACATCAAGCTCATTCGTGAACAGGATGAAAAACCACGTCTCCAGAAAAGCATCAACAAACCTTCGTACATCCGCAGTGTAGCCTTTGAGAACGATCTGATAGCAATCGAGTTTGCCAGGACAAAGGTGACTCTCAATAAACCCATTTATGTGGGTACAGCCATCCTCGATCTGTCGAAGCACTTGATGTATTCCTTTTACTATGAAGTTCTCCTACCCCGCTATGGACAAAATGTACGTTTGCTCTACACTGATACTGATAGTCTGATCGTACATATTCAAACCGATGATCTGTACACCGATATGTCAAACAACATAACAGCCTATGACACATCCAACTATTCACCATCCCACCACCTGTACAGCACGGTCAACAAGAAGGTGGTAGGGAAGTTCAAGGACGAACTAGGTGGCAAACCCATCAAGGAGTTCATTGGTTTGCGGAGCAAGATGTACGCATACCGCTGTGAAGACAACGACGACAATGGCAAGCGTGCCAAAGGTGTGCAGAGAAGCGTGTTGAAAAACACCATAACCGTCGATGATTATCGAACATGTCTCGTCGAGGAGTCTCAGCTGAAGAGAACAATGAATGTTCTTCGAAGTCGACGACATTGCATTCACGGAGAGGAGCTACGCAAGATTGCCCTCAGTGGATTCGACAGTAAGCGTTACATTCTGGAGGATGGTATCAACACCCTGGCATTCGGACACAGGGATATTCCAAAGCACTGAGGGATTTCCACACATACTAGAGCATATGTCATATCTTCTCATGAAATACATTGTAAATACTATGCGATTCATAATATTCACGTTAATCCAAAGCATGAGCTACATTGTACATATGAAATGCTAATACTTCTTGAGATCATTCACATCCTTCTTTGTTAACCAGGTATGGAATTTTTCGTCTTGATAACCCCTCCATTTGACGAGCCGACTGTTCTTGTTGTATTTCAACACCTTATCGAATCTCAATCCTGTGTGTCTGGCATGTTGTAGCTCAGCTCCATAGAACTGTCCTTGAATGACTTCTCCCATCAGGTCTTGAACACGATAGGTGTGGGGTACAGTGGGTAGGACATCGTTTACCACGAACACTTCCTCTGTCCAGTTGGGCGTGTACCCTTTCTCGAAATGACGTTTAGCTACAGCCAAACGCACATCATCACCCACTTTGAATTTTGCTGGTGATTGCTTCGAGTGTACGTCTGCATCTTTTGGTTTTCCATCAAGAGAAGCTTTCGTGGGACTCATGCCGATACTGCGATGTTTCGAGCTGTTGTACTTGACCATAAGCTGAGGAAGGACGTCAAGATACTGTGTCGTAGCTTTCTCCGTGAAATGGCGCCACATTCTGCCTTTCAGTGTTCTATTGAAGCGTTCCACCACCACGGCTTTTCCTTCGTTGTGGGTGCTGTACATGATGATGTTGTGATCCTTGACCCATTGCTTCATTGTTGCATTGTAGAACTCCTTGCCTTCGTCTACCCATAGTTTTTGTGGTACCCTGTTCGATGTTTTCAGGATCATGTCGAATGCATCCCTGACAGCAGAGCCAGTTTTGGTTTTCAGGGGTACTGCCCAGGCATAGCGACTGTACAGATCGATGACGGTCAGCAGGAATTTGTAGTTCTTGTTGCTTCGGGCAAACCGTTGCATATCCACTAGATCGGCACTCCAGATGTGATCCACAGACCTGCTCTTCACCTTGCGTCTTTTGAAATGCACTCGTCTGGGTTTGTGCAATTCGTTAGCCAGTTGCGTGTGGAATGGTGTGGACTGCGACTTCTTCTTCTGTCTTCCATCATGAAGTGCTTTTTGCACTTTCGTATCCCACAAGGCTCCACCACCTCGCAAGACACCTAAACTGAGAACCAGTTGATCGTTTTCCAGCTTTTCATCCTCATCGAAGACTCTTCGGAAAGTTCGAAGTGCTTCATCCAGACCATATTTGGAAAATAGCTTTCCCATCAATATGGCATACCATCCACATACTGCTGTGCTTCTGTCTTGAACGGCTTGGGTGTTGGTGATGATCTTACAGTCTGCATAGGCTTCTTTAAAGAAATCGCACAGTGCAGGTTCAGTGTAATCTTGCTCCATAGTGTATAGACTGCGTCCGAAACTGTCAAAAACCAGGATCACGTTTTGCTCGCGACACACGGTCAACCAATGATGTCCACCTTCCGGTGCACCGTACACCGGTAGAACGTTGTCGGTGTTGACGATACAAAAGTCTCCATTGTTCAAGGGTGGTAAGAGGTCGTAACTTGTACACCCCACGAACCCTCCAACACCATTCAATCTTCCTTTGATGTCGGCACTGCTGAGAGGGTAGTCCATTCTTGATCATAGCCTGAAAATTTTCGCGCACGTGATCACATTGAACGTCCACTCAGGATATCCTTGATGATACGAGTGATCCTGCTTTTATCCTTCAGAACCTCTTGAATGAATGATGCATCGTCCACCATCACCTTTTGTGCTCTGATCATGAAATGCTCGGGATGGATCAATTTTGCTTCAGTTGTTCTACCATACGTAGAAGTCATATCGTTGAGATCTTGAAACTTGAGCTGCGATCCTGGTACAGCTAGCACTAGGGTGGCTAGTTCATGAATCTTTCGTTCTGATCGAAGGAATCCATCGACATGTTTGTGGATTCCCACCGCACCCGCTATGGTTGCAAACGGGTACCTGGACATGTAGATGCGATTCGTCTCGTTGACCAGAGTAGTGTAGTCGTTCATCGTCTGCGTCTTCAGGGCATCCGCAGCCGCTTCCACCCGACTCCTGAACCTCAGTCGATCTTCATCGTAGAGTTGCAGCAGTTGTGATCGGCTTGTGAAATAGTTGCTCTTCAAAAAGGTTGCCGGTATATTTGTATGTCGGAGGAAACTGTCCAGGATTTGTAGGATCCATCGGTCAAATTCGTGGTCTTGTAATAGATTGAAAGGCACCGATGTTAAAGGTGCCTTTCTCTTCTTCCTGACATCTGCAACGGAATCGCGAACTTGATCGGTAGTGGAATCATAGTTGAGTATGTTGGATGCAATCACATTTCTCACAGACGGGTAACTGATGTGATCGGGATTGTTTTTGAAGTGGGTGTCATATAGACGCTTTACTCGCGGATCAGCTTGCAGTTCCAACAGGGTGGAGGTGCTCAAACTGTGATCTGGCACTTGGGAAAGAACTTTCTTGACGCTTTTCAAGTAGGTATTGTAGTTATTACCTCCTTTTTGCCGCATGAGTGGTGGTATACCGAGAACTTCCCACGAATTTACTCTCTTCTTGAGGATGTGTTGAGGATGTTTCGACATAAACTGCAAGGTTTGCAACCTTTTACGCTTGGGTATCGAGAAGGATCCCTTTCTGGACCCCACCCTCTGTATACTGCTCGGTAGCCCATTTGAGAATTTCACCGTAAGATGCTCCATTCTTATTCATGATTGGAATTTTTTTTCAATGTTTCGGCTAACTTTTCGGCTAACTTTTCGGCTAACTTTTCGGCTAACTTTTCGGC